AACTCTCCGAAATCACAAAAGAGTTCCCTTACTCTTACCGGGTCTGTATACTTTGTGACTTTGTTCCCGGTTACCGGGTCTGTATACACTCCCATTAAAAATTTATTTACAATTCAGTAGTACTAGTAGTAGGCCTTTTTTATGGTCAGTCTAGCCATCATATTAAGAATAAGTAAGGCTAGACCAGCTGTCTAGCCGTACTTAGATTCTAAGTACGGCTAGACAACCCGTACTGCTAGCCTAGCAGTCTAGCCGTCATAATAAAATTAAGTTTAAGACATTTAAGTAGTTTAGTAGTAGTACGGCTAGCCTCTTCCAACGGAAAAAAACCCCAAATTGAAAACAACGCCTTACCCTGTCCACTAAAGGACTTGTTGACCCACTGTGTAAAGTCTGTTATTTGATATACCAGAGGACAGTTACTATTGTATGATATCATGTAGAACTACACTCTAGGATATTAGGCCTACATGAAAGTCAAGGAAAGTACCCTGATTCAGGAATGAAGGGTAGCCTCCTTGATCTAGATCTATGGAGAATGGAGAGTAATTTCCCTTGGCAGAGGCTGGAATCATTTCCGGTCTCCGGCCCGATCCATTTTTTTAAGGAAGTGGTTGTTGGCCTCGGCCTCCTAAAGTCTACAATTTACAACTTTGATAAGTAATAAGTGGCGATTTTCTTTCAAAGAAAAAGCCTTTGGTCACATAGGTAACTTTAAAAAGAATTACAATGTATTATATTTTAAAGCCAACACATTTTAACAAATTGACATATCATTACAGGCTAAGTATTACAAAATTATGTTATCTTACGTTCTATCTTGACCTTTGACTTTTGACCTTCGACTTGCCTTTGACCGGAGGTTTTGAGTTTCGTGTTGTTAACCTGGGCCTACTTCTCAATTCTTCTTAGATTCTACATTCTTCTTGTCTTGTTGTCTGTACATGAAGCGTGTTGTCTGTCTATCTAGACTCTCACTATAAATTCAGCCTTGTCGCCCTCCTTGTTCTGGCTGAAGCAAGTTGGAACGTCGTAAAAAAGAGTTGAAAAGGCTTTTGAGCTAGATTCTAGATCTCTAGATCGTGAATCTTGCCGCGGCTACAACGCCTCCTCTGCACGGCGCACGGTGACGGTACAAACGTTCGAAGTTTCACATCACATCACACACTTTGCCCAATCATAGATCTTGATCTATCTAGATTCTAGATCTAGATTATCTAGGTTAGATTTCAAACAGACAACAAGCCAGCAGTAACCAATTCCTAAAAAATATGCAAACTTTATACTTTATAGCTTACAACAATGCGTGCTTTGGAGCAAATGCAACGTCATGATTCTGGCTGCAATGTTTTAAATTAAAATACAGCTGATACAACGCACGGCACGGCATATTTCTGCAACTGTTTTCACTAGATCTAGATCTAGATCTAGATCCGAAAAGCCAAGCCTGCAGCTGTCACCTGTTGCAATAGAGTTAGATCTAGAGATCTAGATTTTGCCTGGCCTAGCCCTAGACTAGATCTGGTCCTAGGCAAGAGTCTAGAAGAAGGAACCCTAGAAGAAATAAGTAAATTAAGTGGCCAGTGTAGAGATCTAGCGGTTACAAGTTAGCTAAGATCAAGATAAAGTATAGATCTAAACATAGGCTAGATCTAGAATCTAGATCTACAATCTACATTGAAATTTTTTCTAGAATCAAGAAACATGGCTTCGACAACGGGTGGAGATGCAGGTGGTGCCAGTGGAGGTGCTGCTGCACGAAGGGTCCATGGGCCTGCAACATTGGCAGCTCTGCAGTTTGTGGCTGGTGGCTGTGCAGGTGAGTAGAAAGTAAACAAGAATACTTTTATACCTGTGTAAATCCATAGACCCACCCTAATTCTAACTATAGTTTGTTCACTTTTGTCTGACTGTGGTTAAAACAAGATAAAATGAAATCGCTCTGTTTAATCGTCTCCACTCTTTGACTCTTTGCTTTATGGGTCTAGAAGTTGGTTTTTGTTTGTTTTGGTAAGTGTTATATGGCGCTCGCAACTGCATTTAAAGGACATATTAGCGCGCAGGACACATTAACCATTTTCAGTTGGAAGGAAATTTTGAATTTGGCTGGGTGGCGGCCGAAGCCTACTCTTATCGATTTTAGACCACCAAGGGATCTTTAAAGTGCGCAACTTGCACAAGGGACATCCGAGATTTTTCGCCCTTGTCCGGGAAGGCTAGGTGTAGATCTTTCCTACCAGAAGATCAGGGGTGTGGTTGAAAGACACCTGTAAGAAGGAGCCAAGGAGTAGCTGCGGAAAGAGTCATGAGGAACCCAGAGGAGGGGGCAAAGGAGGTGAGGGGGTGGGGGCAGAAAGTGGAGACGAAAGCAGACGACAGAACATTGCTAGAGAGCAGGAAAGTAGGTGAAAGAAGACAAAGGAAATTTTCCCATCACTACCCGGATTCGAACCCAGAACCTTTGAATGAGAGGTGAACACCATCATAACCTCTAGGCGATGAGAGCCCCCCTAGAAGTTGAATGACCAACAGAATCTAAAAGCCCATTCATAAAGGTCACTGCGAACTGACTAAGGTTCGGACACGTTTGTTTTGATGTAGTAAGTCTAAATAAGCGGGTAAAAAAAACAATAGGGCCCGATTTACAGCATACACTTCAAACATTTAAAAGTTAACATAATTTCTTCAAAAACACCATGCTCTAACATACACCTAAGAAACACGAATCAAGAGACGGGGTGAATAATTTTCGAGACTCACCTGGAGCACGTGGAGACGTCTAGATACTAGATAACCGTGGGGTGAAGTTGACAAGCTTACACTGAAATATGGGGGCAGGGTCACTCTGTCTCAGAATGAGCAATTTGTTGGCAAGGTTACTGTAAGTCAATTATTTTAGTGATCCTGTGTATGCATCCAAAGAACAATTTTTAAAATATTGGGCCCAAAGACAAAAAATTTTTTATTACTGAGTCAAGATTAAAGAAAAAAAGAATTTTGTTTGGTCGCTGGCCTCCAGAAGTGCCATGCAACGTTTTGTGGGCATATATAGGTAAATTAAAATATGAGCCGAAATTTTTTAGCACGGACAGTCAAAAGTGAACAAGCTATAGCTGCCTGTGTGTGCCAATCAGTAATTGCTTTTGACCGCCGCTACAGTCTTGACAAATTGAAGACGACAGTCTTGCTCCAAACTTTGGTTGGAATAAATTTCTGCTCGATAAGAATAAAAATATGTTGATAAATTCCATTTAATTGATCCCCATGGTAAATTTATTTTACAATGGTGTACATGTTTATTCATCCTCAAATAGGCCTACATTTAAATAACACAAATAAAATAAGTTATTAAAAAACAATATCGCTAACAAAGACAATCCACACACTAGGCTATTACGACTACAGGTCGCCACTGTGCAGCACTCTACTGGTTTTGAGGTTAAGATTACCTGGTTTATTTGAAAAAGTGATGCAAAAGTCAGCGCCACCACAATTATATGTAATGTGAGGCATCGTGTTGAAATCAGGGGCTCGTCAAAATGAGGAAATCGAAGAAATAGGCGTTTTTCTGCTGGTTTGGCAAATTTTATCATTTTTGTTTTTTGGCTAACATCTTTTATGTCCATTTAAAAACTCATTTCTCAAAATGGAAATTGCTGCTTGGATTTTACCCAAAAAATAAAAATGTCAATTTTAAGTTTTCAGGGACTTTTAAGCTATGGAAGTGGCTTAACTTTAGCGGCCATTTTCTCGCTTATTTTATCTCTGAAACGAGACAATCCCATCCTCCTTCATTCGCGTATATCTCAACTTCTATTCAAGATAGGAGAGTATTTTTTCCATCTAAAGCAAGGCAAATGACCAGGCTTTAAGATGATACCGATAACTCTATATATGCCTAAAAATTGATGAGTGCCTGATTCCACCGCATTGTGAGGCATAGATACTAATAGCTGCTCCCCACCATAAAATAAAAAAGAATATCACACCTCTCACTCCCACACACACACACACACACACACACACACACACACACACACACACACACACGCACACATGCACACACACACATTGAGTCTTTGTCGATCTATTCATTCCTCTTCAAGTGCTCACTTGTATAGGTGATTGTGATGGACAGTTGTTCGTTCGAGCAGGTTTGACAGATACATCTATAAAGTTGCTGCACTTAAAATTAATTGGTTTGCATTACATTTTTTAGGCTTTAAAAAACTTTTATAGATTGTCATTTTAATTTTAGATCAGCCTTGTTAAGATACAGTCGGACTTAAACAATGACCACTGGTGTAAGACAATCACTCGTACAAACGACTGTTGCCCTCTTGCTGCTTTGCCTTTAAAAAAAAAAAATATATATGTCACAATGCGGTGGAATCAGACGCTTGTCAATTTTTGGGCATATGGGGTTATTGGTGTCAACTTAACGCCTGTTCATTTGCCTTCCTTTTGGTGAAAAAAAATCCATCTACGTTGAATAGAAGTTGAAATATTTGCAATTGAAGGAGGTCAGGGTCGCCTGGTTTCAGAGGTGAAATTAGCGAGAAAATGGCCGCCAGAGTTGGTAATTTCCATAGCTTGAGAGTCCTTAGAAACTGAAAATTGACATTTTTTCTGTCTTTAATCAATGTTTTTCAGTAAAATCCACATAGAAATGTGTTTTTAAATGGATATGAAAGGTGTTGAGCCAAAAAAAAGAATTTTTTAAATAAAATTGCCCAATAGTCAGAAAAATGCCAATTTCTTTGATTTCACTATTTTGACGAGTGCCTGATTTCACCACAATACCTCACATGTATAATATAACACTGGCACTGTGACACTGTCCAAGAGGACCATTTATCTGTCTTCTAAGATAAAGTTGACAACTTTTCTCCTCAGTAATGAGTAGTCATCTTGGACAGGTTTGTCTGTATTATAATCAGTTTTGAAGTTGTTATAATATCACTTTTTTTGTATGTGTGAGGTTGTTTAATTTTTTAAATCTCTTTTATCTTTGCAGGTTTTACTGAAATTTCCATTATGCATCCTTTGGACCTTGTGAAAACTAGATTCCAGATACAACGGGGTGTTGATGATCCCACAAGATACACCTCTATCTTCGATTGTTTTAAAAAAATGTATAGACAGGAGGGGTAAGATCAGTATAACGTTCATGATCTATTTCTTTACACTTTACAAATAGGAGCTATATGTTATAATACTCTTATTATAAACATTTTCAGTTAGCCAGACTTTTTTGTCTTGTGTTGGTAGCTGGACTGAATAGAAGATTCGGGTGTTAAGGTGTAACAAAAAAAAACCCTTCCTTAAAATTTGAACCAAATACAGTGGAGTCTGTTTAAACAGAACATGTTTAATCCGAAAACAGAAGTAAACAGAAAGAATATAAAATCCCTAATTTTTAATTTTAAAAAAAATTATCAGTTAGCCCAAATGCTTCCTTTTCTAAATGGACATGGAAAATAATTTCAAGGGTTATGTGAACTAAATCTTCACCAGCCACCTTCAATCATCAAGTCATACATATTTCAAGATAACAAAACAGGAGAAAGAGACCCGAGAATACAGTGTGTCAATTGCGGGCCAGAGAGGAGCATAGCCAAATATGTACTTATAGTGCGGTCAAAAATTCGTGGCGCAACTATCTCCTCAACTATCGAACATAAACTCTCCAGCTTTTGCACAGTGACTTGTATCAATTTGTCTTAACAGATCAATATTTTTGTAAACTCCAATTAGCTGTATTCTAGAAAATTCCTTAATAAATACTAATAAAAAATCCCAGTGGGTGGTTTCTTCTGATTTTAAAAGGTTTACAGTTGGGACAATATCGCTTTTAAAAGCAAGTCTGTCCTTTTTTTCTAATCTTGAGATTATCTTTATTGAACTCATTTTTTGAGAACTTTTAGTGCATAAAAGTGTTCACTGTAATATGAATTGTAATATGAATTTCCTGCAACTAGTTTTGTCACTAAAAAGTGTCATTGGTGAGCTGTGACGTAAGCCATATATATGCCTACGCAAAATGTGTGTGAGAAGTGGGAAGTGCTGTGAACAATGTCCCTGTCTTTGGGCTTCCTCATTTCTCTAGGCTAGTGCAGAGCATGGTACAGTGTGCAGTACAGTGTGCTGATCTGCTCTTTTGTCTGCTCATTGTTACTATTCAGCAGATTAAACAGGCTGATAATGTCGAACAGACTGCACAATGCATACAACGTTCAGCTAAAGAAATTGCAGTTAATTACTAAAAGACAAGGTTGATAAAAAAAAATTTTATAAGTAAAATTTGCTGCCAGTATGGGATTCCCAACTCTACATGGTGACGGTCATCGCTATTTGAGGGACCGTCTCTAAACCGAAAAAACAGCTAATCCAAAGTAAATCTATTGGTAGAGCAGATATCTGATTAAGCGGAATCCACGGTAATCCAAACTTTCGTTTGCGCTCTACAAAACCGTATTATTACGTTGTATGGTAATTGCGTTTGGACTGAGACTGATGTATATATCAGCTTTTCTAACTTAAACAAAATGTGGGAGCTTTTGCATGGCACTGAACAAACGGATCATTATGAAACTTAAAAGGTCTGAAGTGTCATCTTGCCTTCCTGGAGCCAAGTCAAGCATTAACTTGTTAAAGGCTCAGAGCTGCTCAGTCACACAGTTTATCCCGTATGTGTGCTCATAGCCACACTCTACGTCATTCAAATCATGATTGCAATAAAGTGCAAATAATTACTACTCCTTCATGAAGGATTAATTTCTGGTTTGTTCAACTTCTGCTAAACGTTTATCAAATGTGTTGAAGATGGATGTCCATTGCGTAGTGTGTGGCTCGTTTCATAGGAGGATATAAAACCAAAAAAATATAAGACGTTTATTGTTCAGAAGAATGGGTAGTGTTGCTAAAATTCACAGTCTTTTCTTCTTAAACCTGTAGTGATTATTTCTTTATGGTTGTAGTTGAGGCTGTTTGATGGAATTTGTAAGATCTTGAAATATTTTTTTGAACAAGTAGTTACATTTGATTTTTTATTTTTAATGAAGAAAAATTCTTCAGTCTTAGGTGTTCTATTTATTAATACAGATGTAGATGTATCATAAAAATACACATTTCATTTTTATGAAAATTCATTCTGGTGTATGATATAATCTACTTATTCTGTGACATATTTGATATGAATGTGATGTCTTTTGTGTAAACCCTAGATCAGAATTTCCTCATGTGAAGAAACTCCAACGAATTGTGATCCAAACCCGAAGTTTTTAAAGACTTAAACTCAGCAGTGATAGGAATATAGCCCACAGAAACATTTTTTTCTTTGGTACAAAGTGCTTCTACCACAGACAGGAAAAATGTAGTGCTGTTGCCCAGCTTTCAGTTGTGAAGTGGGTTTATTACTTTTGATCAGTTGCTAGAAAAATAAGAAAAGACTAGAATGATTTTCCTTTGTCCTCTTTTTTGTTATTCATATCATGTTTAAAATCGTCCATATCTCTCCTCCTCCTTTTTTGTGTATGTTACTCTCTTGTGACACATCTATTCTTTGCACTTATATGACCTTATTATGTTGCAAGTGCCGTAAAACTTTTGCTAAAACAAAAACTAATATCTCCACAGGGCATTGTCATTCTACAAAGGGATTTTGCCGCCTTTGTTAGCAGAGACACCAAAGAGGGGAGTCAAGTTCTTCACCTTTGAACGCTACAAACATATGTTTGCCATCGGGGACTTCATACCTCAACCTATCGTAAGGTCGATAAACTGGAAAAATAATGTATTGGGACATATTTTTTTAGAATACTGCTAAACATAAAATAAAACTTCCTTTTTTAAAATTGCAAATACAGTATAGCACGTGCATTGCAATAAATGCGAATAGTGAACAGATGTTCAGTCCCGAATTTTTTCTTATATATTTCTTTGTATTCAAAATATGCATGTAGCAAAAACAATTTGTTTATAGCAAAAATATTTGCAGTCAGGGAGGGCAGATGTTAGTAAATTCAACCAGAAATTTTCTTCACAGAAGCAGCTGTGATGAAAAAGAAAGGAAGGTATTTATATAATATGTAGATATTCTAGAGAGAGGCCTCAGTATAAGCATAGCAGCCAACCAGTACATAAAAATGTGTGTCTCATTTTTTTTGGTAGGAGAATACATATTCTCGGTGTTTTAGTAATGCTCCTCACTTATTTTTGAATAATGAAGAAAAATTCCGAACTTTCAAGGTGGGATGTGCCAGTAATAACGAGAACAAAGCCCATAAGTCAATTATAGTTGTGACAGTAGTCTTTTCTAAATTTCTCTCATTATTGTTTCAGTCTGCTTTGAATTTACTGACAGTAGGAATGTGTATGTGAATAATTATTGAGGGGGGGGGGGGGGGGATTTCTTGGCCAATGCCCATCATCTTGATTAGCCACATTGGAAGAGTCTGTTTTTTGGTTTTGAAAAGTTGGCAGCTGTGCACGAGTATGATAGGCCAATGACCTGTCTATAATAAGTGGAGGATAATAGTGTAGGCCAAGGATGTGTTATTGCCTTTGTCACAGAAGGGTTTACAGTAAACCTAACTCGCATACCTCAGTCGTTATATGTGTTGGGAGTCTGCATTCACTTGAGCATGTATCTTTTATTGTGGAGACATGTTTCAGGGTGCTTCTCTTTCAACAGAGACTACACAGTGCGCAACAGCTTGCTGGCATTCTGTAAAGTTAGGTCTAGGTGGAGTTGTAGTTGAGAGTGAACAATGATGGAGCAAAAAGAAGGGGAAATGCTTATCGGTCAAGGAAAAATAACTGTTCCTAGTCGAAGTGGATAAAAGACCAGTATCTTCTAACATAAAATTTTTAAAGCGCCTATGAACCCAACATGTGTAGTGTGGGTAGCATAGTTTAATAAAATTTTGATCCAATTGTCCAACTTTGTCCACCTCCCTTGATATAGCCTGAATTATGTAATGAAACTCGTACAAAGGAAAAAGATTTCTGAGTGCCATCGATTTTTCTATGTGTATGTTAGAATGTATAAAGTTTCTTTTGTTTATCTCTGTAGGTGGAGGGGGGCAAGTGAATTTATCATAATTAGAAGGCATCTTAATTGCAAACACTTCTAATTATGTTTAGCATTGGTTACTTCTCCTTGTGAGGGTCACACTGATTTTATATGAGCTTTCTTAAAATTTGAATTGTTAAGTGTTTTAATTTTCTCACAGCTGGATGGCTACGGTTAAATTTGTAGAGTTTTGGTAGTCTTTAAAAAGTTTTTGCATGTGTGTTGTTGGTTTTTTTGTCTGCCTGATGAGAAAAGCTGCTGGGAAAGGTTTAAACAGAATCATCATCAGTTACCGTGCCTGGCTGGTTAGTGAAAGTTTTCCCGTAAATTTGTTTTTTTGAGGCTGCAAGACAGATGAAAACAAACAACTTCAAGCTCATATGACATTTGTTTGATAAAAGTTCCTTTATTTTCTAGGAAAATTGGGACGGCGGTTTATGCAAAGATGTTTTGATATTTTCTTTTTTTCAAATGAAAATACAGATACTTATATCTTCAGCTGGCTTGATGAATTGGGAAATTTGGAATCGAGTCCATGATAAAAGCTGTCACAGTTTATTTATTATTTTTTTTAAAAGTACTTTGTCAGTGTTTGTTGTGAAATGAACATGCTGTTCTTTTGAAATGGTGGGGCTGAAAATGTAGATACTACACACCGATCAATATATTGAATGATTGAGGGCTCTTACAAGCACTGAATTTTATTTTTCTTTGATTTTGGAGGGATAGGAGAGGGGGGTTCTGTTTTGATGGAGTGTCACAACTTTAATTTCCTGGGTATTTAAGAGTGTTTAAATCTGAAATTACTTTTTTTTATTTTTAGGTTTTAACCCTGGCAGGTTTGGCTGCTGGTATCACGGAGGCCATTGTCATCAATCCTTTTGAAGTTGTCAAAGTGAAGCTGCAGGCAGAAAGGAGTAAATTTACCGAGGTAGATGACAGGTTTATGTGTGTCTCTTTGAGAGGTAGCTGGGAATATTTCTATGCATTCAACTCCCCTTTCAATACTATAAGGTTATTTTTATGTGATGAGACCTCTGAATGTGAAATCCATATCTGATAGGTCTGAGCCAAATAGGTGGCAAGCTTTGAAACTTCCCAAACAACTCACAGTTGTTGTTATCGATTCAGAGAAAACACAGGAAATCTGCTTCCTTTCTTCTGCTACTCCTTGGCTCCTTCTACTGATGTCTTTCAGCCACACCCCTGATCTTCTGGTAGGAAAGATGTACACCTAGCGTTCTCGGACAAGGCCGAAAAATCTCGAAGGTCCCGTGTGCAAGTTGCGCACGTTAAAGATCCCTTGGTAGTCTAAAATCGCTAAGAGCTGGCTGCGGCTGCCACCTAGGCAAGAGTCAAAATTTCCTGCCTACTGAAATTCTTTAATGTGTCCCACGCGCTCATGTGACCTTGTGCAGTTGTGAGCGCTGTAAAACATTTACAAAAAAAAAAGTCTCACTTTGGATTTGAACTAGGGTTATTTACAGCTTAATCCACTGTGTTACCAACTGACCTAACAGTGTGCCTCCATTTTAGAGCAATGCACAGTCACTTTCAATCATTATTTATAGTAAAGACATATTATGTCTCTTTGTCTGTGAAAGGGGAAGAATGAGCCATTCGGAAAAGTACAATATTTATGATAGTGATTTTCTGGAATTGTAAACTTATGAAGGATGGTTGTCTCAGTGAACACCTTTCAAACAAGTATGAACACTCGACTACGCTATTGTCCTTTCTGTTATATATCTTGTCAATGAGTGATGTGGTAAATGCTGTTACAAAGTCCACCTTTTTCTTTTGTGGTACTTTTTCATTGTGGAAACTCTATACTATAACACATGATTGGTTCGTATAATGTGATGTTGGCCAATGGCCTTTAACACTGAATAACTTGCGTACTTACCTACTTTTCATGTGTGAAATACAAGTCTAGTTAATTAAGCATGTCAATCGTGAGCTTGTACAGGTCAAAATTGTGAATTTCTTAAAGCGAGATTTCTGTCTCAATTTTTTGTTGCTGTATAGATTTTAAAATTTGTCTTTTGGTTTAGATGTGTAAGCTTCATTTGCTTTGCTGGCATTGACTCCATCTGTTTGCATATTCCAGGATTTGCATAGATCCATTTACCAAAGTTATGGACTGTTTAAACAAAATCTGAAACAGATCCGTAACCTCCTGACTAGCCACTGTGTGACTGTTGGGATGAAATGGTCCCCCACCTACTCTTTACCTGCTCTGCACTTAACGACCTGTGAAGTATAGTGGTCTCTAAGATCCCGGTGTTTGGGAGCAAGGAAAATGCAGGAACTTAAGTGAAGGGGATCTTATTCCATTTATCAATGGAAAAAACCACGGTGACTCCTGGTCATACCCACAGTCAATAAAATGATGCCCCCTTACTTGGAAATGAACTGTCGTGACTTATGGTGATCAAAGAGTTTTTAACCATGATAACCAATCATAATGACATGAGGCATGTCATTTTCATTTGTCCAATCGTGAGTCTCAAGGTCAAACTTTATAGCTTTCTTTATCTGACAGAGTTCTTTGCTTGTAACGTAATATGCCATTGTGTTGTGACTGCACCAATTTAAAGTCCAGCCTGTCTAGCTTATTTGGGTAGAGAGATGAAAGACATTGGCAATGGTCAGTAAAACAAAGCACTGACCAGTACACAGTTCGAAGTCATCCTGTTTGATGTGGCCTTGTACTCCCTACCCACCTAGTGTGTGGTGTAAGTCAAGGGGATAGGTGAAAATGTGAGTGCAGTGTTTGGGGAAAAATGTGTCCATGAGTTTACATCTTTCCTGTCCAGATCAAACATTGTACCCACTCATTGAGATTTTCAATGGAGATGTGATCAGATTAATGAAAGTGGATGACCTTTGATGTAAAGGGCAGTACACACGGCTGTTCACGAGCAGTACTTTAGTTCTACCGGCATCCCGCAGCGCCCTGACGCTCAGCGTAACTCGAACCAGCCATAACCAACGGGTCAAGAGGTCAGCGCGGGGAATTTTACTTGACTGACAGATTCGCGATGAAAATGTTATTGAAGCAGTTTTCAGCTTTGTTTAACCTGCGACTAAGCCCAAACTACAACACCAACTGTGCATAAAACCGTATACTTTGAATAAGCATCATCTGACATATTTCTTAGAGCAATCATGCAACTAATTAAGGCTAGAGAAATACGAGATGACGAAGAAAGAAAAGTGGATACATGTTTAAACATTGATAGAGGATCATGATTTATTGCATTAAATTTGGACATGATAGCTGCGGTCGATTTTGACAATTCTAAGATATTGGGTCAGAAATTGAGTAAAGTTTCAAACTCACTTGGCTGTATCTGTGTGTCATTGCCTAAAGCAAAGATATTAAGTCTTGAGTGGAGATTCACAGCTTTTCACCATATGTCCCCAGTTCCCATTGTCGGCTTGATAATAACGTATCACTCTAGGATCGCGGGTATCACCAGTCAGGGTGTCAACACTTATAACTGCATTTAAGCCTACTGTCACAAATATTGGTGAACACACTATATAATTATCAAAACATTTTAAGAGATGCTAGATTTGAAACAAAACACACACAAAAAGAAATCTTGTGAACACAGAACAAAAGATGTCTGTATCATTTTAAAGAAGAAAAAAAATCACAGAAAAATGACACAAAGTTGAAACTCACACCATATTTTGTACAGTATACCTATCCGTACTAGATTTGTAAAAAGACTTGAAACTGATGGTGAATTTGCGAAGTTATTGGAGTTTAAATTCAAATAACACTGACAAAGGAATCCGACTCTATAGAAATACGTCTTGGGAAGGTCTATGTAATTTTTAAAAATTAATTAAAAATCACAGAAAAACGACACAAATTTGAAACTTGTACAATTTGTACAGTATGCTTATCCCTACTAGATTTGGAAAAAGAATTGAAATTGATGGTGAGTTTACAAAGTTATTGGCGTTTAAATTCAAATAACGCTGAAAAAGGAATTTGGTTCGATAGAAACACGTTTTGGAGAACGTAGTTTGATAAAATCAAGGTTTTGAACTGAGATTGACCAAAGTTATATCGTCTTGTAGTGGGAAAGCTGAGCTGTAAAATAGTGGGTCATATGGTGATATCACATCTTTAGATTTGGAGATATCAGGGTGGGAATGACACCATAATTTGGAGGAAATGCATTCGTGGGCAGGCGGGGGTGCGCCGCTGGCATCATGGTAGTGAGCCCGGCTGACCGCAGATTTAATGACCAACACATGGGTGGCACTGACCGCTGGCATGGAGCAACTAAAGGAGCGGTTTCCGGATGAGTTGAACAACCGTGTACAATGATCGCAAATATTCACCACTTGGTTGATCAGCTTTTTGTAAATCATGATCTGAAATACGGGATCTTAACCAGATGTTGTCCTTCTGACCAGGATCTATGGGGTTACTTATGTGGAGAAAAAATTATGCTCTATTTAAAACAGTGGGATTTCAAGTGAACTGGGATCGTGAGTAGTGGTATCTTAGGCAGAGACACTGTACTTACCTACCTGCCTCCCCAGATGTCCGAAACAGTCTCTCAGAGCTGATAACAACCTGTGTACATTCTTTGCCATATCGACAGGCACTCAGATGGCTACTGGATCAGAGAAATGAAATGAATGTACTGCTTTTATGTTATATCTGTCTCTTACCTTGTTTGTCTTTCTTTTGTCAATCAGCAACCCAGCACAATCAAAACAGCCAGAGAAATTATTGCCAAGGACGGATTTGGACTGAAAGGACTCAACAAGGGCCTGACTGCCACTTTTGGGCGGCATGGAGTATTCAACATGGTCTACTTCAGCTTCTACCATAACGTTAAAGGCTTGATTCCAGAACGAAAGGTATGTCTCAGCTTCCAGAGCGTAGATCGTAATGAAATTCTTTTGTAGCTTGTCTTTTTTTTTTTGTAAGTGTTTTACGGCGCTCGCAATTGTATAAGGTCATATGAGCGCGCGGGGCACACCTAATATTTTCAGTTTGTAGGAAATTTTGAATTTTGCCCGGGTGGCGGCCCAAACCTACTCTTATGGATTTTAGACCACCAAGGGATCTTTAACGTGCGCAACTTGCACACAGGACCTCCGAGATTTTTTGCTCTTGTCCGAGAAGGCTAGGTGTAGATCTTTCCACCAGAAGATCAGGGGTGTGGCTGAAAGACAGCAGTAACAAGGAGCAAAGGAGTAGCGGTAGATAGGCTGCAGAAAGACTGCAGAAAGAATCAGGAGCCCAGAGGAGGGGTCAAAGGAGATGAGGGGGTGGGGGTAGAAAGAGGAGATGAAAGCAGATGACAGAACATTGCTAGAGAACCGGAAAGGAGGTGAAAGGAGACAATTTTAGAAAAGAACATTTTTCTGCCACTACCCGAATTCGAACCCGGGACTTTTGAATGAGAGGCGAACACCTTAACCTCTAGGCCACGAGAACCCCCGTAGCTTTTCTGTTATGCGGACCAGTTGAAAACCATCTTAAAAGGAAGTTCTAAAGTCCTGACAATTTTGAATGTCAAGCTTTTAAATTTAGATTATGCCAATACTTGTAAAACATTTTTAGAAATGGGAACTGAATTTACTTGATAAAAATGTAGAATCTGTATGGACATCATTTCTTTTTTGAAGGTGGGAGCATTTTGATTTGCTTATGTCTCAGTTAAATAAGCAAGCGATCTTTTTTTACCATTGGATAATAAATTAGTGAACATAAACATTTAGTTTCAGTGCTTTCTGCCAGTGATGAAGGTACTGCAGGGTTGTCTATCATTATGAATTTGACAGAATCCTGATATTTTTTTTTATAGTTTACGAAAATACGATCGTGACATTCCTGATTTTGATTTTTTTTTAAAGTGTGCTTGCCGTTCAGCCACTCCAACCCATTCCCACCCTCCAAGTGTGTAAAGAAGAAGAACAATCACACCCTGATAGTCTAAGTTACTACATGCCGTGCAGCTTTCTAACTTAATTCTTTTCCTACCAGGCCAAAATCCACCATTGGCCCATGGCTTTATTTTTATGCCCCTACCCCACCAAAGGAAAATGTCAAAACATCCAACTAAACACAATGAAACCATATCATATGGCCCATCAAATTGAAGGTTAAAAAATAATCTATCAGATGGTGATACAATATTGAAGATTTATTCCAATTATATTAGTTTGGGGTTTCTAAAAGTGATTATGCAATATTGAAGGTGTCATATGAAATCAACAATTTTCCAGCTTTTAAAAGGTCATATCTAACAAAGTACAACAACAGCATCATTCAAACTTCACAGGTAGATTGCCTCAAGCAATGCTTAGAAATGCGGAAAGTTATGTATGTGTACCTATTATAGAAGTGAACATATGAGACATATACTGGAGTCAGGGGAGTACTTTTCTTTTCAATTTTACGTTTCGAAGGGGACAGAAAAAAGCACTGAAATGACTGAAACTGGTCTCTCAGTGCTATATTTTCTTTTATATCTGCTAACAGGAAGTTTATTCTATTGTTTCGAAAACCTGGATCGACCGAGATTTTCGTGTCTTTTCATTACTGGATTGGAATAGATAGCCAGTATTTTGCGGCTCCCCGGTCCAACGAGGCCACATCCGGGAGCCGCATTTTGTGGCTCGCGGTTGGAAAAATGTGAAACAACCTCTGTGCACAGAACCCTCGTATTTACTCAGTGCCACATTGTCCTCAGAAAAACATTAGTTGCACTAAAGCCAGGAGTAATGGAAACTTTACACAAGGTTTGACAAGTCCCATGGGATTCTTTTGTTTTTCCAAGAGCCCAGCTGAAAGCCAATAACTCCTCTCCCCACACACACACATCACCTACAAAATCCTTTTTTCCCCCTTGACAACAATCTGGATAAGCGTGTTGAAACCTCTTTTGTCATGCTTTTGTTTTCTGTATATTTATCCTTGAACTTGCAACCCCAGTCCTATACACCCTAGGGAAAAGACCATCCATAGTCATGGTCATATGAATTTTTAGCCAAATTTTTAATGTTTACTTTGTTAATTACTAAAACATATGCTGGAGGCTGTTTTGGCCTGCAAGAGTATTTTCTTTCAAAATGCCAAAGTTCTTGCAATGAGAATTTAGACCAAACATATAAGACAACTTGATACAAATGTTTCTTTCAGGACCCAACAGCTGACTTTGTAAGACGTTTTCTTATTGGACTGGCTGCTGGGACGTTGTCCTCTATGGTCAACATTCCGTTTGATGTGGCCAAGAGCCGGATCCAGGGCCCTCAGCCTGTGCCGGGACAGATCAAGTACAAAAGTTGTTTCCAGACAATCGCGCTAGTCTACCGAGAGGAAGGGTGAGTTATAACACTTTCCAGTAGAACCCCACCATCGCCAGAAGGAACAGTGTGCATGTTAGTCTTCAACCAGGCAAGAACTGGCTTGAAAAAATTGCAGGGCTAGTGTTCAATGGGAGAGTTAGCTACAATAAAAGTAGATCTCTGAAAGCTGCAGCCTTGTTTTTATTGCTTGTGAGGAAAGTGCGGCAAGCACTGGCATCGGCAGTCACAATTTACTTTTTCTTCCACAAAGAGCAAAAGATATGAACATTTGGTGCACAGGAATTTGAATCAATAGGCTGCAATTGCTGGTGAAGAATTTGATTAGGAAGATTTTCAAGTTCAATTTGTTGCTGTTGTTAGTAGTTCAGCTGCTCATGGGCTGCTGCTCTGCAACCTAGTGCCATGTTGTAAAAGTTAATGATCTTTTTAAAGTTGTTCTGTGTTGGTTTGTAAGCTGTTGCTGTTGGGAACAGGTATGTGTGAAAGAAGGTCTTTCAGACTGGGCTATGAAAGAGCTGATATTGAATGGTTTCGTAAGAATGGTTTCAAAATTGTACTTAAAGTAAGACCACTGGCTCCACATGTTGTAAAATCAAACAAAACTTCGTCAGTTGCTCTGGTAGAGACACAATTTTATGAGAAAAAAACCCAACAGAAATATGTATTATGTTATTTATAAGAAGTGACATAGCCTTTGCAACAAAAAAAAAGAAGTCAAAGATTATTGTAGAGCAAGTTACATCTGTGTTAAAGCTTACAGAAGGCAGAGGGCATTGTTTGAAGAGTATGATGTGTATCTTGTATGCTATCTTTGGCTGGTTTGGGTTATATCATATAAAACAGTATGTTGGATGTTTTTGGAAATGTAAATAAATAAAGCTTGATATCAATTACCTGAATTAGGACATGATCAAGTCTTGATTTACTGTGATGTAAGATGATGGGGAAGTGTTTGATAATGGTTGAGAATGTGTACTGTTTTGTTTTATAATTGTGAAATGAAGTTAACCAGTAATAGCAGGTACTGACTATAATGAAGGAACATATTAATTGCCTCAAAAATGCTGCGCTCAGTGTAGTGTAAAAGATGCTGTTCACATAATATGGCTCTCACTTGCGGTCTTATTATTATTATTTTTTTAGTATGTAGGTGTTTTACACCTCCACCAACACAATTTAGATCGTTTAGGAGGTGTTCTTCAAAACTTTCTTGATAGGGCCAACCTGTACTGAGAGGGATTCAATGTTCCACCACAAAGACTAAGATACGATACTTGATAAAAAATTCTCCCCATGTGAGGATAGAACCGATGTTTTTTGTGGGTGATGGCAGTTTTTTTCCCATGATATATGCAAAGGTTGAAAAATATGCTTGTTGAGAGTTGTGATTGGTTACTTTTTTTTTGGTTTTGTTTTCAGCTACTTTGCTTTGTACAAAGGATTACTGCCAAAAGTGCTTCGTCTTGGTCCAGGTGAGAATAGTGTCATCAGCGTTATTACTATTTGTTATAACAAAGTGCCCTGTCGTTTCGAGGTGGGTGGATGACCGATGTTGCAAGTACAGTTGAAATTGTCCAAGACAGCCATCCATTGTTGTGGAGAAAAGTATTTGTTTTAGACAGGTGGACATCTTGGACAGTGTCAAAATAATATTTTAAAAAATGCAAGGATGGTGGGTGGGGGGGGGGGGGGGAGGGACGGGGGCAACAAGGTGACCATCAGGCTTGCTTACGGGAATCTCACTAGAATTGCAGATACTCAGGAATGCCTTGGGGATTTGAGTAAATCTCTAAATTACCTAAGAAAATACTTGAGAAAATAGATTAAGCTCTTCTTTCTTACTTACTTTATTTTTATCCGCCGCTCATGCCCTTTTTGGTGTCGTGGGAAGAAAGAGACTTCTCTCTGTCGCCAGCTGGAGAGCTTGGGTCAGGGGGATGCCGTGGGTGGTTAATGTTTCCCTGACTCCATCTATCCAGGTCTTTCTCGGTCGCCCTCTAGCCTTGTTGCCATCGAATATTTGGATGTAGGCATGTTATGCTGGATGGTGTGTTGGTAATCATAGAAGATGTCCGCACCATTTGATTCTCTGGTGTTGGATGTGATGCATGACATCATTTGTGCCCACCATTTCTCGGACTACTGAGTTTCTAAGTTTGTCTTGCCTGGTCTTGTTTACTGCTTTTCTTAGGCATCGCATTTCACTTGTTGTAATTCTTTGCTCTAATGTCTTGTTCGTGGCCAATGTTTGGCATTGATAAGTGAGTGTTAGGATGAATATGGTGTTGGTCATTTTGAGTTTTGTTGTCATGGGGATGATAGGATGTTTGAATAGTGGAGTAAGCTGGTAACTAACATTATTGGCCTTTTGTACTCGTGTTTCAATTTATCTGTTCAGTCGCCCATCCTCTGTGAATATACTTCCGAGGTACTTAAATTCTTGGACCTGTCTGAGACTGTTGTTGTTGATATGTATCCTGAGTGGTTCTGACTTTCTGCTTACTTTCATTGTCTCTGTTTTGTTGATGTTGATCTTCATGTCGTAGTTGTCACATTCTTCATTTAATCTGGTGGTGTGGTGTTGGAGACTTCGTTCATCTTTGTATGCCAGGCTTTGGTCATCAGCGAAGAGTAATTCATTTAGGGCGTCTGGTTCTGTGTTGGCCTCTTTGATTAAGCTCTTCAATAGTGAAAAATCAAAATGGGTAAGGTCAGTAAGTTCATCTTTTGCTGATCTTGTTTGTGGTATTCATTTGGCCTTCACTATTTTGAGAGTGCGTTTCGCACAAACAAGCGGCTATGGCGGAAGTACACCTGGCATATCGAATGTGGGTAGTCTTGATAGAGAAAAAATCAAGATCTACTTTGTCTTTTGTTGCTGCCCAGAGTTTCCCGATGACGATCTGATAACTGTAATAGTTAAGACTTGCAGGGTGTACATTGTAAATGCAAAGGCACATATGCAAATGTACAGTATAATCCACTTATATCGACAGCCGATGTTTTGACATATCGATGTATTTTCCAATTACGAAATTTTTCCTTCAATATCTTCATTAAACAATTTCTCGTGTATCGACTTTTTTTTCGGCCCACTCTGCTTTATCGACATGCTTCCTGGGTAACTGGCAAAGCCCATGAACATAAACGTAAATTTTAGTGTATTTCTTTTTCTAGAAAATTAACTCAAAAAGAATTCAAATTTCGGAGGAACGCCTAGCCTAGCTTTAATGGTTACGTTGACAAAATGCCTTTTCTCTCGAAACTACTGTGAATAAAAAAAGGCGTTTTGTCAGCTGATAGCAGTAAAGGCTCAATGGGCAGTATGGAAAAGGCAGATTAGCTGCTTTATTATTATCTATCATAGACTGGGTAAAGTTCAAAGTGTTGTTTCAAAGAAGTTTTCTAGACTTTGTATGTGTTAGAAATGCCCATGGCCTAAGTCACGTATTTTCACCTTAGTAGCTACCCGGAATAGATTCTTTACAGTTCAACAATTGGGGGGGGGGGGGGGGGAGATGGGTTGGTTGCACTTACATCTTTTCTCTCCGTTTTTTTTCTTATCTTTTCTGTTTTACTTTTTCCCAGCGATAAATGACCATTATTGTGGTAACTTTACTCAGCACACTGTATTTTTTCTCTCTCTGCAGGAGGTGCCATTATGCTGATTGTCTATGAGGCTGCTTTTGACTTCTTGAAAAAGATGTGAGGGTCCACAGTGAGCACTGGGAGAGAAATGTTGACGGATTGTTTGAATATGAAGGAAACGGAGAGATTTTCGTGCCTGTCTGATAAGGCGAAATCTTCCATGTGGGATAAAAATTTAAAATGAAAGTAGATTTTCATTTCTTGCATTTATATGTGTTGAGGTATGTGTCTGTATGGATCATTAGTTAAATTGCGTATATTATATTTAAATGTATGTTGTACAATCAGTTTCTGGGATTTTTCAAAGCACACTGGTGATTTTTTGTTGTTGATCTTTGCTCACCAATGATTGGTGATTTGTGGTTAAACTTAACAAAAGATGCTATTTGATATTTTCATATATTCTGCTCTTTTTACAAAACAACAGAAGTTGTGCAGAAAAATTGATTGTCTCGTGGGATTTTAAGGGTTTTTTTGTTTTTGTTTTTGTTTCTGTTTTTTGGGGTTTTTTTTGCCAAAGGTATGTTTCAGGGAAACTTAATTTTTAAAATGTGTTTTGAGTCCATCATTTACCTCAGGGTAGCAATACTTGAAGATTTTCTGTAGGGTACTTTGAGTTTTGATGACATGATAAAGCCATAAAAAGGAACTGAACCATTTTACAAGTTATTATATACATAAAAAAATAATTTGCATGTTTTGTTGCTCTATGAAGTGTGTGATATTTGATCTGTGCCAGAAGCACCAAAAATTATCAGTATGTCTGCTATCTTCTGAAATGGAGACGAGGTTCATGAAGTATTTTTTTTTTTAATAGAGCTTTGAGATTCGGTTATGCAAGGTTTCTCAACGTTTTATGCTTCGACTCACATTGTTGATGTTGAGTGCCAAATATTATACGAGGATGATTTGTGGATGTTACAAAAGGTCAAAAGACGTAATGCATGGTAAAACCTTTGCCTGTTGGATAGGGCTTTGTGGCTCATCAGTCAATAAGCCTTGTTTTAGTATCCCCCTTTACCCCATCCCACCCCCCCTTCCCAATCTAAACGAAACCTTCCTTCTTTTGTAACTTTGTCACTCACTGATTAATGTTACTGACTCAACGCAATGGCATTAATGTTTGCTACTGATACAACTCATTATCATTAATGCAAGCTACTGTCACAGTTGGTTTTTTTTAAAGGATTTGTTGCATTTCTGATAAAAGCTTATTCTGTCTCTGAGAATTCTTTTCTTTTTCTCCGGGATCAGGTCCTTTTTATATCATTTATGAGTGAGTTGAACTTGCTTTTATGTAATGTGACTTTGGAATTAACTATTTCACTACCAGGGGGTATTCCCCACCTGGACTGGGCCTTATCTGTGACACATTTTCTGATTCGTCCACCCTTAGACAAATTAAAGAATTTGAGTTCACTTTCAATATTGGCCACATGTATCATATATGAAAATAGGGGGGAACTCATGACCTATCTCAATAAGTTGCTATAAATAATCATTCTTCAGCCTGAGATTTCAGTTTCGATTATTACAAAAGTAGGACGGAAGCAGGAAGTGGAGAGCCATGAAACACGGCTAGCAGTCCAGCGTTGGGAGTAACATGAGCTGTGAAACACGGCTCGTGGTTGTGAAAGAGTTAAGAAAAATGCAGTGGGAAGTCAGTTTACATAGAGGGTAAGTTCAGTTCTCTGTTTTGTCAGCTTATCTTTTCCGTGTTCACTGCCATCATATTGGTTGCCATTTCCCCTATATATCGAAGATCATTAATTTCGTTTCTGAAATACTTTTTTACATTTATTTGCAATTAGTTGAACTTATATTCTAACAGGAATTCAGTTAGCCCCAGGGCGCTTACAATTTCTTGTAAGTCGATCTTTTTGTTTTCTAGTCATACACAGCTCCTTTTATTAGTAATAGAGATGATAAAAACTTAAGTTTCAAAGGTACAGTCAATATATCCTATGGCTCTTGTCTAAATATAACTATCATATAGTGGGAAATGTAATTAAGAGTTATTTGTACAAAATTCAGCATGTTCTCTTGAGTTGCTCAGATTTGTCATGGACCAAGAAGTGAGTGTTGAACAATTAAAATCTTACTTTTGAAGTACTTAGGGCTTTGATTACTGTGAATATATGTGTGTTGTTACATGGAGAAATCAGGCACTTGTTGATTTTTTGTGTACATGGAATTATTGATATCATCTTACAGCTTGTTTTTTTGTCTTGCTTTTTGATGAAAAAAGTATCCGTCTTGGATGGGAGTAGAGTTATTTCCTATTGATGAAATGTGGGAGTTACTTCGTGTCAGAGGTATATAATTAGGGAGAAAATGGCTGCCAAAGTTTGATGACTTCCAGAGCTTGAGTGTCATTGGAAACTGAAAATTAATTTTAGAATATTTTTTGGTGCCTTTGATCAGCATTTTTCAGTAAAATCCACATAGAAATATAATTTTAAATGAACATAAAAAGTGTTGGGTCAAAAAGACTTTGTAAACATTGCCCAAGAGGCGGAGAAATGTCTGTTTCTACGATTTCATTATTTTGATGAGAGCCTTATTTCACTGGGATGTCACATAATTTTATTTATGTATAACTATAACATAATATATATGTACAGTCGGGCACGGATAACTCAGACATGTTGGGGATTGACAAATGTGTGCGGCACATCTATAATTTGTGTAAATAAACTGATAAAACAAAACAAAATAGAGGAATTTTGAAGAAAATCAAGAGAAGTAACTGTAGCGATACTACTATTGTTGGAAAATAAGTCACTAATGGATTTACAGTAACATGTTCGCTACACACAGTTTTTTGAGTCATGCTGCATCTCTTTTTGAACATAAGCTACCATCTGTTGCTTGTATTGTCAAGGCCAAGTTCCTCTGCAATTTTGTCTCCTTTTTACATCAGGGAGGGACCACAGATAAGAAGAGACATGGCACATGCTTGGTCAAATCATTGATGTGACATAGTGCCTGCTCCACGTTCTCAAATTTAGCAAAGTGCGCTAGCTTTCTGTCGGGTTGACATCCAATACGACATTTTTTATTTTTTCTCAATTTATTTAGAAAAAAAGGAAAGCATTGAATTGGAGATACCAATACCAAATCTCTTACAAATTTCCGAATTAGTGCAGGACTTCTTGTCAGTCTCTGCTGAAATCTAACTCTTGGTTTTTATTGTCATACAATTAAAATTTCCTATTCGTTGCCACCCTGAAAGTATCTGGTTCTGATAAAAAGAAAAGTGTGTGCGCCTTTTTGGTCTCAAAGCAAAAGAAATGAAGAGAGAGTTTCTGATAAGCATTCAACAAAAATAGATTTGCTCTTACGTCAGCAGATCACGATCATGACGATGCTACCAAAATTGATAAAAATTGAGCATGCCACCCATTTCTCTTGTGTAATCTGTGTAATAAATCACTGATCCATACCTTCAAGTTTAAACACCACACACTCACACATATTATATGCACACGAATACAAACATAATTCACACACCATATGGCTCTATGCAGCACCACACTGTTATGTATGATGATGCATCTCGATACCAGAGGGGTGTAGAGGTGTGTGTATCATGCTGTGCAGGGGCGAACCCGGTGAGTGCGTATAGCCCAATACTCTCAATAATGATTGGTGTGTTGTTTTTCCAGAGTGTGCACAAGGCGATTTGAATACGAGGCTTGTGGTATTAAGATGAAAAATTTGATCAGGTTTTTCGAGATGAGCTGTTCGATAAATTCATGTTGCCGATACAAGGAAAGTTTATAGCGTATCAGCCAGGGAATGGCATATTGCACAAGCTATCTGTGATTGTGAATTTTGCTTGTTCCTCTTATCTGTGCCCAACTGTTTTCTGTTACTGTTATGACTTGATGTACTTGAATGTTAAATGTGGGTGCTTACGGGGGCTCTAGTGCAGTTTCATCCTCTTTTTCCTATCAAACATTAATCCACCTTACCATCTCTCCTGTTTGTTTGTTAATCTTTTATTACACCTCTAATGTTCGTCACTTTTGTGACCTTATTGTGTTGCAAGTTCTGTAAAATGAATGCTTAATGTTAAATGATGAAGCCATAGTAATATTCATTTTGTATGACGGTCATTATAATACAAGCATTCCTTTGTGTTCAGAGTGTATTCAGAAGCCAGACCTCCTTTTTCTCCATTTTATAGTCAGAGCTCCATTGTTTTTGGAGCAGTTGTGTAACTGGAACCTTTGTCCTATGTAAACTCAGTGCAGTGTTTGGGGGCTCGCTGTACAATACATGACTTTTACTAATTTTTAGAAACTGACAGCAGTTGCAGTCAGTAAATTATAAAATTTAAGTGGTTGTTACTGATTAATGCTTTTTCTTTTTTTTTAAATATAAGCATGAGAATTTACTGTTTGAAAATTTATGTTTTTTGCCTTGTTTTAAAACCATTTTTTTCAGAATGGTAACATGCTTATGTTTTTGCTTTTATTAAAAGACATAAAGTGTCTCCTCTTTTGTAACTTTAATAAATGGCACATTTCTGTTATTAAGGCAGCTTTATAAATCTTCTCACAGAGATGGTCTCAATTTTCTTTTTCACCATATAGATTATGTGTAAGAAACATCAAGTAAAATGATCCTTGTATGCCTAAAGACACCATTGCTGTTTTCTGCTACACTCTCAAGAGTCTTTCTTTGTACACCAATCTTTTTCACCATATTAATGTGCCATTCTATAAATTTCTCGAATGCCCCTGGGGCGGTGCTACTGACTGAAATGTCTTTTGGCCATCCCCACAGGCTGTAAATGGGCTGATTCACCAATGTCATGCTCATAACGGTACCTGAACTGCAACAGGGAGCTTCTGCTTTTTCTTTCCTAATCCTTAAATCGTCATTTGCCCTCTACTTCTTTTGTATGTTTGTCACACTCTTGTGACCTGCTACTCGTATTTCCGGGGTGCCTTGTTAGTAGACTCAGACTTTGTGCGGTTGAAGCTTGAGAGGTGAGAAGAGTAAGTTTGATTCCCTGTAAGGACTTCTGTGTTGACATAAACCCCTTGGTGCTCATAATATGACCATATGCAGTTCGAGCGCTGTAAAACCTCTACTAAAACAAAACAAAACAAACTGCTCGAATGCTTATGTCTTTTTTTTTTATCTTTGACTACCACCAAGAAGCCTGTAAAAACAGATACTGTTGAAATCGATACTTACTTTACTATTATCCGCCGCTTATACCCTTTTGGTTGTCGCGGGAAGAAAGAATATCAATTGAAACCAATAAAAATGGAGCAAACACTTACAGTTAATTTTATTAACCTGAAGGCTTGGAAACAGAATGATATTAGAACATTTTCTGATAACACTAAAACCCTAACATATACCCAAAACGTAAACTTAACCCTTGCCCTGTAACTCTGGAATTAAACTTTGCTGGGGTCTGTCAGACCCCAATTGTGTAGGCTAGGGTTAACCCAGTAAAAATGCTGGTTTAATACATCTAGAATTTCCTGATTATTATTATTATTATTAACTCCTCCGTCTAGTTGCCAGGGCTCCTCTGGGTCGCTTCCCTATTGAATATTTTCAATAGGGCCCCATATGTCAAAGATCTTTTTTTGTGTTGTTGTGAATTGTACCTTTCTTGCTTCTGACTATGAGGAGTTTATACTTTTTGCTGTAGTCAGAGATTTGTTGTAGATCTCTTCCACGTGTGGTTGCTGGGTGCTCTGGTATGGTTTACTCCTTCTTTCCTATCAAACGTCTACCTTCTTTATCTCTCCTCCTCTCCTCTTCTTTTTTTTGCATTTTAATTTTTACTCTCTTATAAAATTTCTTATCTTTGTCACTTATATGATCTTATTGTGTTGCAAGTGCTGTAAAACTCTTGCTAAAAAATGCTAAAGATCTGTTCCTTGCCACACTGCTTTCCTTGCTGTGTGCTAGGGTTTTTGTTGCAACCAGTAGTTTGACATGACACTCCTTATATTTAGCCCAAACTTGGAAAGTTTTACAGAGATAGCTCAAAGAAATTATACAGTATTAATCTTGTATTATACCCATTTTTAAAACAGGAATGAATACATTCTTTAAGTTATTGTGAAGCATGAATATGTATTTGCTTACATGTTTTTTTGTTTTTTGAAGACTTTTTGACTCGGTGTTAGGACTTCTAAATTTTGATAAATAGAATAGGGCTTACTACTCACTTTTATAAAATTTAAAAAATAGAGGTGTAAAGCCTCCAACTTTATCCCAGCTTTAGGCCTAGATCTAGTTCTTTCCAGGTCCAGATATATGAGTATTGAGAGTACTGTAAAAATTGTCCAAAGATAGTCACCCATTGACGAGGAGGAAAGTGGTTGTCTTAGTCATATTATGGTCTTCTTGTACAGTGTCGTTATGAAAATTTATTGTGGAAAAAAGCGCGATTGGGAAGGAGGGGGGTGGGGGATGGGAAGTCATTGTTTGTACAAGTATAGGTGATACATAAGTAAGCTCGCATGCCCCCCCCCCCCATAAAAAAACTGGCCCAACAATAACTCTTACTATAGCCCCCACCCACGTTATAGCGACAGGTTTTGTCAATGCATGCAACACACACTCACACACACACACACACACACACACACACACACACACACACACACACACACTCTCTCTCTCTCTCACACACTCTCTCACACACTCACACACACACACACACACACACACACACACACACACACACACACACACACTCAAAGGCCTATATAAAAGTTGTACTTCCTCCTTTACAGCGCTATCCACCTACTGTCTTAGTTGTACAGTGCTTTTTAAACGAATGTAAATTTACACCAGGGATCTAGCCACCGGAGGTACATACTAGGCATGATGTATAGCAGCCTCTTGGTGGCTGTATGACAATTCTGTCTCCCACGGTCAATGTCAGTCGTAAGACGTGCAGTGTACTATTATCAGCTACGAGGCTCGAAAGACAAAAAAGTGACTTTTTATGAAATTTGTGTTTTTTGGATATATGGAAAGTTTAATATATTCTGCTTCATTTAAGATAAAAATAAACAACTATAATTGACTAAAAATATTTTATTCTCATTTATTTTGGAGGTGTGTGT